GGGTTAAAGCTTTAAAAACAACTTTCTGCTTCTGAAATATTGTAAAATAATGTTTATAATTTACTTAAAAAGGCATCAGGTAGGCTTTTTCAAGCCTGTTTTACAATTACATGGATCCATTTGTGTTCGTAGTCCCAAATCCTCAGTTATCATAAAGGCAGACTGTACATTACATCGCGTGTGTCGGCATTTGGCCATAATATATTTACTCATTCACTGTATAACCTAATTAGGCTACTATAACGTTCATTGAGAAAATATGATTTTTTTTTTAATGTGGCGTTCTGGGTTCCCTACTGTGCGCTATGGATACAATTAGAAGCTCTGATGACTCAGATTACTGCGTTCCTTTTAATTTTGATTCCAACAAACCCAAGTGATTATTGATCACTGTAACAGTACACTGCAATCATTTTATTAGCTTACTTTAATATAAATTATTTTAAACAGCTTTCACTTAAAAGAAATGCGAACGTGTTGCCATAACGACGCTAAGATGCCAGACGCCAGACCAACAGCTGCCGTAAATCGTTTTGTTTCTAGCGTAAACAATGTTCCACTATAGTTTGAGTTTGGAGTAGTTTGGAGATAGATTATAAAAATCGTTTTCACTTGTCCACAGGGCCTGTTGTATTGCAAAAACTTTGAGAAAAAGGCTGTCAAACATGTAGCACTTAGCAGGGACAGCACAGCGCCATTAAGTGTGTCGCGGAGGTTATGACCTCGAAGGTGGAAGAGGATTTCAGAGGAGCTTTTAATGTTAATATTTAATTTGCTTTTTCAGTACAATGCATTTCAGTCAAATGAAAAATAAATAAATGAAGTGCTATTTATTGTGGGTTGAATTTTGATTATTTTGAGCTGTAAGTACAAAGGTTGGAAACTGCCAGGCATTATGTGTCAACTATTTCTGTTGATATATGCAATTAAAATGGACAGCTGTTTATGTAGAGACCAGATTTTAAAGTTTTTTTCATTCATGAAGCTATAATGTAGAGTCTAGTGTAAGAACCTCAAATTATCAACCGTGCTATCGAGTGTGTGGGTAGATGGTGATGATATAGTGATATTACTGTAAAACTCTCAGGAACATTAAAACATATTTATTCAAAAAAATATACACACATCATTATCATAAAACAATAACAGGGAATGGGATTCAGGACAGGAATGAGCGTGGCTCCCAAGTTGGCTTCCATACATGTTTGCTGTAAAAGATTAACAAAAAGAAAACATAATTTTACATATTTAAAAAAAAAACTCAAATCAATAGTGTGTGTGAAAATACCTTCTTTTTCTTTCTTTTTTTACACTAATTCACCTCAAGCCTAGTCAATTACAGCCACCATTTAGCAGCTGGTTGTTCATATACAGCCACAATGTGAAGTTTAACTTTGATGATCTTTACTTTAAGTATTAGGCCTATCATTTTTTCTATTGTAATGGCCTACTAACAGCAGCTTACATTTTGGTATTATTCAGTCAGAGAACCTTGTTGAAAAATGCATTGAGTGGTACTATGATACTATAAACACAAATAACACAGCACAGCAAGAACGTTCATCATTCCTTCTTTCTAGAACTATACTTCAAAATATCTCAATTCCTTCAAACCTGAACTCCTAATTTCAAAAGGAGTGAAACAACAATTAGGATTGTTGTAGACCTGTGTCTCTGTTTTGGTCCACGTCTATGACTTTCCAATTGGGAATTAAATGAAAAGCCTGAAAATGGCTGAATACTTTACGGCCTGATAGATATTAGATATATATATGAAATGCATTCATTGTTAGAATACCTCAAACCTCTAAAACTGATCTGATATTTATTGTCTTAGCATGGTGAAAGAGACCACCCAATTAGAATAGGAGAGCACCATTTTAATAATTAACATCCATAGTAGACTACCAAAATATTGGAAATTACTTACTTGAACACAGTGGCTGTTTTCGAAACCACGTATTACATACTACTATCTAAATCAGTATGCAGTATATACTGTATACTGCATACTGCGTTCAACAGTAGTATACAGTATGACTGCCAGTCGTCGGTTATTTTGCAATATGCTTGGCCCGGTTAAACTGGTTTCCGGTCCTGGAATGCGGAAGTACGGCCCATCTGGAGGTAAACGCTGCTATGGTGTAGTGAAATAAGCTGACAAGTGCTTCATTTCGATTGTCCTTATTTAACATTTACATTTACCTGTGACATCGGGTCTAAGTTAATTCAGCGGTATTTGATTGTCATCAGGGCACAGTAAATGTAACGGAGACGGATCTCATTCATCTTGTAAAGGCTACATTCCATCATTCTTGTAATTCTGCTTTGATCAAACTGGGTGCCTTTTCATCAACTTGTTAATTGGTAGTATGTTTGTGTGTTTTACTCTGACTTTGATTATCGACCATGTAACAAAATAATTAACATAATTAAAAGCAAACAGTCAACAATCTCTCATATCTTCTGTCATTTATACATTACATTATGAAATATACGATTCAATCAATCAATCAATCAATTATTTGTATAGCGTCAACTCATAACAAGTGTTATCTCGAGACACTTTACAAAAAGCAGGTAAAATACCTTACTCTTTGTCTGTTAACATTACAAAAGAGCAGGTAAAAAGACCTTACTCATTGTTATGCTAAAAAAAGCAGGTAAAAGACCTTACTTATTGCTATGTTACAAAGATCTGGCCTATCCATCATGAGCACTTTTAGCAAAGCAGCAAAAGTTACAGTGGTAAGAAAAAACTGCCTTATTAAAAGGCAGAAATCTTCGGCCGATTCCCTGGCTCATGACGAAACAGCCTTCACAGGCCTAGACCGCGCCAGGTTTGGAAAGGGATAGGGGGAGAGATGGGATAAGATGCAGGAAGAGGGATAGGGAGCAAGGGGGTGGGGGGAGGCAAACCGTCCATCAACAATCCAGTGGGGAGGGGGTTGTTCTGGCAGGCCGTCCATGAACGATCTGGTGGGGAGGGGGATCTCGATCTCGAGGAGCCTAAGAGAGCTCAAGAGCTCCCAGGAAAGTAGGTTGTTAGTGACTGAGATTTACAGATAGATACATGCAGTAACATGATGTATTGTATATGCACAGAGAGAGAGAGAGAGAGAAAGGAGCTCAAGGTGTCAGTTCCCCCGGTAGTCTGAGCCTATAGCAGCATAACTAAGAGCTGGTCTACACCAGCGCCAGCCCTAACTACAAGATTTATCAAAAAGGAAAGTTTTAAGTCTATTCTTAAAAATACAGACTGTGTCTGCCTCCCGGACCCTGGCTGGAAGATGATTCCAGAGGAGAGGAGCCTGATAACTGAAGGCTTTACCTCCCTTAGTACATTTAGAGACTGTAGGTACCACTAGCAGGCCTGCATTCTGGGATCGTAATGTTCTCGAAGGGTAGTACGGCACTAGTAGCTCCTTAAGATAAAATGGTGCCTGGCCACTTAGAGCTTTGTAAGTGAGAAGAAGGATCTTGAATTCTATTCTAGATTTTATAGGGAGCCAGTGCAGAGAGGCCAACACAGGAGTAATGTGGTCCCTTTTCCTAGTTCTAGTCAGTACACAAGCTGCAGCGTTCTGGACTAGTTGAGGAGTCTAGCGACTTACCAGAGCACCCTGACAAAAGAGAATTACAATAATCCAACATGGAGGTAACAAATGCATGAACTAGTTTTTCTGCATCATGTTGCGAGAGGATATTCCTGATCTTAGATATATTACGAAGGTGAAAATAGGATGTTCTTGAAATTTGCCTGATGTGAGAGTTAAAGGACATAGCTTGATCAAATAGAACTCCTAGATTCCTAACAGTGGTGCTAGATGCCAGGCTGATGTCATTAAGGACAGTCACATCATTAGAAAAAGACTTTCTGAGGTTTTTAGGGCCTAGCACAACAACTTCAGTCTTGTCTGAGTTAAGAAGCAAAAAGTGTCTAGTCATCCAGGTCCTAACGTCCTTAAGGCACGTTTCTAGCTTACATAACTGACTGGTGCCATCGGGCTTCATTGATACATAAAGCTGAGTATCATCTGCATAACAATGAAACTGTATGGAGTGTTTCCTCATAATATTTCCCAGAGGAAGCATATACATATATATATATATATATATATATATATATATATATATATATATAATGTAAAGAGAATTGGTCCAAGCACTGAACCTTGTGGCACTCCATGGCTAACTTTGGTGTGCATAGAGGACTTGTCTTTAACATGTACAAACTGAGATCGGTCTGATAAGTAGGATTCAAACCAACTTAAAGCAGTCCCTGTAATTCCAAGTAAATGTTCTCGTCTGTGCAATAGGATTTGATGGTCAATAGTGCCAAAAGCAGAACTAAGATCTAACAAGACGAGCACAGAGAGAAGTCCCCTGTCTGAAGCTAGACGTAGATCGTTTGTAACTTTAACTATTGCAGTCTCAGTGCTATGGTGGACTCTAAATCCTGACTGAAACTCCTCAAATAAACTGTTGTCATGGAGAAAGTCACACAGCTGATTAGCTACCACTTTCTCCAGGATCTTTGAGATAAAAGGAAGGTTGGATATAGGCCTATAGTTAGCTAGAGTTCCTCAACCTGTTGCCTTGGAATCCCTCAGGAGGAGCTGGAAAACGTTGCTGGGTCGAAGGAAGTCCGGTTTGACTTAGTGCGCTTGCTGCCACCGGACCCAACTTCGGATAGGGATGGATGGATGGATATTTCTATATTTCTGTCTGGCCCCAACAAGCGAAAAAAGGTTGTCTGTAGGGATCATTGTTTGTGTGCGGAATATAGTTAGTGTACCTAAGCTATCTTACAACCAGTTGATAAGTTACTAACTTAACTTGTGTATGTAGTGTGTCCATGTGTAGTTATATAAATATATATGAAGCAAACACACACACTATTAATGCTGTGTGTGTGTGTGTGTGTGTTGTTGGGTGTGTGTGTATGTGTGTGGGTGACAGTTAAAGTTAGCAACTGGTAGCAGTCAAGCTAGCAAATATGAAATTTGATTAGCCTTTATTAACAAATATAAAATGCCTAAGTGGATGGGAATATTAAGGAAATGGCAACAAACAGTATAATGACCAAATATACCATTTTGATACTTATGTTTGCCTCAGTATTACAAGAGAATAATGACAGGGGAGTAACAAGAATTTTCTTAAAATGCAATTACCACAACATTTTTAAAGGGACAGTAACCACAACAGAAGACCCCCACAAAAAGAGATAGACATGTTTAATACATTCCTTCCATATGTTGTGTCTTTGATTGACAGTTTTCAGTGAATAACCATCTTAATTTAAAATTCAAAAGATATGTTTACACCCTGTTAGATGGTAGCCATCTTGGATTTCTGGGTCAAAATGATGTCATAACATGAAACTGATGTCAGAACCAGAACCATCCGGCTCACTTTGATCCTGTTTGGATCACCCTGATCCATGAACAGATTTAAGGATTATCAAATCCAGATTATCAGAGCTTTTATTTTGTCACTCTTTTTTATTGGTGAGATCAGCACAATACAGACATTACAGAAAGGGGTCCATTATTCACAACCCCACCCCCCCATTACCACGCCCATCAACCATGAACCAGACCAGCTTGACAGAGTGATCAGAGTCAGCTGATCTTCAGTCAGCAGTGTTTATCAGACCGACACACCACACAGAGACACTGAAGAACCAAGAGACCAGAACATAAACCCAGGATAGAGAGGTTCAGTGAATGTGGTGTTGAAGGTGTGGAGGTGGATCAGTGTGTCAGAGGAGACTCTGTAGAAGGACAGAGAGCCAGCAGGACAGTCCACATACACTGCTACTCTGTTAGAGACAGAGGAGGAGGAGGAAGAGGAGATGTTTGTTTTTCTTTTATTGTGACAGACAGAGTAACCTCCATCAGAGCAGAACAGACTCCAGGAGTGGTCATTACATCCAAACACACATTCATTACTGTCTCCTCTCCTTATGATTCCTTTGTAACTCACTGATATATCAACCTCTCCTCTCCACTCGACCTCCCAGTAACAGCGACCACTCAGACCAATCCTACACAGCAGCTGAGGACACCAGTATTTAAATCTGTCTGGATGATCAGGATATGACTGATGCTCCTCTACACGTGTCACCTTCCTGTTGTTGTCAGACAGTTTGAGGGTTTTGTTGACTGTGTTTGTGTCCAGTTCCAGCTCACAGGCGTCTGATGGAGAGAACGAGACACAACACAGTTGCAGGTTATCATCTGTTCATTCATCAACAACTTTACTGACAGTTACTGAGAGTCAATCTAATTTACAGTTCATATTCAGCACTGAATGGTGTTTGACAGCACTGAAATGTAATAATCCACTTCTAATCAAGTTCAAATGGAGTTACCATGGCAGCCAGGATGTGTGGAGATAAGATGAATGGTGTAAGGACACACTCTCTAGCTTCTCACTGGGGTTGGTGACTGAATCACTTAACTGCAGAGTCAGGTGTGTTTGTGGCTGATTGGCCTTGATTAAAGCCTATTAAAGCTTATTTATACTCCTGGAATTCAGTGCTCTGTGCTGACTCATTATCTCACCTTCAGTGGTAGTGAGAGGTTCTCCCTGTGTTGTCGCTTGTTGTCTGTGTGTTCATAAACACAAACAAATAACTTTCTGTGTATTTGTGTCTATTGCTAAAATAACTTGGGGTGCTGGGTAGTTGATATACCCCAGCCTTTTGTGTTGAGTTTTTAGGCCTCCCTGGCAGCCTTCACTTTCGTGAATTGTTTCTGGGTCTCCCGGACAATTTAGTTTCGAGTCAGCTGCTTGGCAGCAGTGGTTTAGTTAATAATTTTCGGTGCATTAGTTAGAAGGGTGTTTTGGCTCTATACTATTTCATTGTTCCCTACCCCCTCTCCAGTCAATTGCTTGCGATTTTTGTGGTTATCCTTCTTGGATAACTTTAAGACACCCCTGGGTCCGCACCTGTGTCCCACTTTCCCGTTTTCCTGACAAATGGAGATCCAAATCAACAAACACATGCAGTGAATAAAGTACTAATCAAAGTGCAGCACAAAGAAGCTGTGAATCATCTGCTGTCTCCAACTGTTCAGTCCTCAGAGGCCATATTTAGCACAAACAGGAGCCTCATTTCCACTTTCACTGTCACACACAATGTGATGTACTCACACCCTGAATCATCTGTATGCTCATCAATCCTTGTGTCTATGGCTGGGAGATCAAACTGTCTCCACTTTGGGAGACAATTGATGTCAATAACAACAATAAACTTTGTAAATGTTTACTGGAGAAAGCTGGAACAGCAGGTATATGAAGCTACAGCTGTAGGAACTCTGCAGGGCTAAAATATAACAGAAACACAAGAACTCAAAGGCTACATGTTTTCAAATGAATGCATCACTGCGTGAAAATGTTCCTGATGAACATAAAAAGAGAACACATAACTAATTCATAATTTCAAAGTGGTGCAGAAAACCTTCAAATTGTGCATAAATATCGATCAAATTGAGCGAAAGACATTTCTGGTGCTAAAAATGTTCTGGGTGGGAGACCTCCAGACCTCCTACAAAGATGTTTTTCAAAGAATAGACATAGACTAAACTTGTCGGCACAGTTTTTGTGCATTTAAAAACATTACACAGGGAAATAAGTTTGGTTGAACTGGTCAGTAACTTGCAAATTAGTCTTAAGATCAGTATGAAAAAAATGGTGATAAAATCGTGATTTTGCCCCCAAAAAATTGTGATAACATATTTTTTCAATATCGCCCACCCTAACCCTATTTTTTTCAGAAATGGGGAGTGATTCAAAAACTAACAACCACCTACCATCCTCAAACCAATCTTACTGAAAGGGTTAATAGAACTCTAAAGACCATGATGGCTTCATATCAAGATGGTGGCGCGCACAGACACTGGAGCCTGGAGCTCTCAGACAGCAAGCAGCAATTTTCCCAAAAATAGGATCTACACACGAACTGAAATGATAAATCTTAAACACGCTTCAACTACTAATACTCCTGAAGGATTTGGCTCATTCCCCTACGGAGATAACTCGCTCTACCGATTGCAAAGCTGGAACGACGATCGGTCGAACAGAGAGGAAACAACGGAGGCGATGCGAGAGGAGGCAGAAGCGAGGCAGACGAGCCAGTGAAGTGTCTGACGTAACTAGGACAGAGATAATATACTGCTCCTTTTAAGTTTATAACGTGTACATCTGGAGAGAATTTGTATCTGAAGGAGATTTAGGAGTCCCTTCAAGTTGAATGTTTACATTGAGGTGTTGTGTAATAGTATTGCCAAATATGGATGTGTTACATGATGTTTTTTATGACCCATGACGAAAAGCAGATGTTTAGGTGCATATAGGTGATTGTCTCTGTATGTTGGAGAGAGATCATTATTTGGCTTCTTGATCCTCCTGGTCAGACGTGACCAGTGACTCTGTTTCTTGCTTAAATAAAATTATACTCTTTGAAAGCAAGTCAGTCTCAACGGCAAATTTCTTCATCATCAAACATATCAACAACAAGGAAATCCACATCACCGGCATCCGGGCTAGGCTGGCTAGCTCCGCACACAGCTGCACTACCGAGCCTCTTTCTCGCTAATGCCGTCAACTAAGTCGATGAGATTACATGACAAGAGGGGGAGGTGTGTATGTGTGTACATTAATAACAGCTGGTGTACCGATACCACCATAACCCAGAGACACTGCTGCCCAGATCTGGAGTTTTTAATGCTCAGATGCAGACCCTTTCATCTGCCAAGAGAATTCACCGCAGTGTTCATCGCAGCAGTATATGTTCCCCCCTGGGCTAACACCAAAATAGCCATGAGCATACTGCATGACAACATCATCAGACAGCAAAACAAACACCCAGATGGCATCTTTATTGTGGCAGGAGAATTCAATCACTCCAATCTTAAGTCTGTACTGCTGAGATTTTACAAGAATGTGGACATTAAAACAAGGAACAGCAAGACACTTGACCAGGTTGACAAATATCCCTGGTGCATAAAAGGTACACTCATCCCCCCATCTTGGACAATCTGACCACCTATCCCTGTTCCTGACCCCAGCACACCAACAAAACCCAAAATAAAGACAGTACAGGTCTGGAGTGAGGAGGCTTCATCAGCACTCCAGGACTGTTTTGAGGACACCATGTGGGAGGAAACAGACATCGAGATCCACACCTCATCAGTATTGTCTTATATTAACTTTTTCATGACTTCGGAAATTCATGGAGACACTGGTACTGTCCCACATCAAATCCTGCATTCCCGCTGGTTTTGATCAACACCAATTCGCCTACAAGACCAACAGATCCACAGACGACGCCATCTCACTTGCACTGCACACTGCCCTCACCCACCTGGAACAGTCGAACACCTTTGTCAGAATGTTGTTTGTTGACTTCAGCTCCGCATTCAACTCCATCCAGCCTAGCAAACTGGTCAGCAAACTGCACACACTACAGCTAGGAACCCCCCTCTGTCTGTGGATCCAGGACTTTCTAACTAACAGACCTCAGCATGTCAGGCTGGGAGACAGCATCTCCTCCACCATCATCCTCAACACCGGTCTACCCCAAGGTTGCATCCTCAGTCCAATCCAGACACCATCATTGTAGGTGGTGCACCTCAACACACAGAAAACCAAGGAAATAATTATCGACTACAGAAAAAAGCAAAAAACACTCCACAACAGTCTGCACATAAACCAGGAAGAGGTGGAACGTGTTGCCAGCTTTAAGTTCCTGGGAGTGCACATATCAGAGGACCTGAGCTGGAACCTGAACACCTCACACATAATAAAGACAGCAACACCTCTTTTTCCTGAGGACCCTGAGACGTAACAGACTTCCTCGCGATCTGCTCAACCCATAAACACCCCCCCCCCCAACAAGACGGGAATACAATGTGCAATAATTACCTAACTGCTGCTAACTGTTCAATGTTACTTGTGCAATAACTTTTTAATTCACTGCTTTATAATTGTTTATTTATTTACTCAGGCACTGAACTTTAACTTTAACTGTCTATTTATTTATTCATTCATTGCACTAAATATGTTTATTTACTCATCCAGTCACAGCACAATAACAACTGTATATACTCTATCACTGCACTATAACTTCATTTATCTGCACTATAGCTCTCTATATATATTTGTTTACCTAATCAGTCCCTGCACAATAATAACTGTATATATTCTTTCAGTCACCAAAACTGTCTATTTATTTAGTATTATTACTATTCATGAACAGCAATTGCTCTGGCCACTTCTCACAAACATATTTGTCTTTCATATAACCACAAATATATTTTTATATAGGTGAACTGTTTTTGTAAACCCTGCTGTATAGGATTGCTGCTAACGAAGTTTTGTTGTGTCCTGTATACAATGATAATAAAGATTCTATCTATCTATCGATCTCAAATACAACCACCGAGACTAGGATAAGATTTGCCATTAAGGACACACACCCTCAGAACTAATGATAGGAAGAATACTTTAAAGACCTCTGGAAAGGTTAACTCAAGCACCCAACCCAGCTCAACAAGGAAAGACAAGACACTATTAATGTGGTGAATGTCAAACCCTTCTTTTGGGGCTTCACCCCTGATGCTGCTTTCTTTTCTTTTCAATGGAATTGCACAGGTTATAGGTCACACTAAAGGTAGAAACAATAGATTTTTGAGTAACAAAAACTGCATGTTGTCCATTTTGTATTTTATATTTCAACTCACTTGAGTTTCCATCACCCTCGTTTTTTATCATCACTCTGTGTTACTTCCAGCCCTCATCCAACATGCTGCTGTGTTCTGATGAATAGAAATTAAAACACACTCACACTTCCTCAGACCAGGATCCAGTCTGTGCAGTCCACCATGGTCCAACCTGGAGGAAGAAACCAGATCAGAATCTACTTCATACATCTTCATTTAAATCCACCATCAGACAAGAAGCAGAGTTCATCATTCAGAAACAGTGAGACAGCTTCTGTGCGTCTGTGTGTACCTCAGTGTCTCCAGTCTGCAGTGTGGATCCCCCAGTCCAGCAGACAGCAGCTTCTCTCCTCTTTCCCCTGGATGATTGTAGCTCAGGTCCAGCTCTCTCAGGTGGGAAGAGCTTAGAGCTGAGGCCAGAGATGCACAACCTTCTCCTGTGATCAGACATTTTGACAGACTACACACACACACACACACACACACACACACACACACACACACACACACACACACACACACACACACACACACACACACACACACACACACACACACACACACACACACACACACATTTGTCTCCACATCCTCATGAAGGACTTTCCTACTATGTTTGCTTTCGTAATGTGTTGTTCGTGAACGATTCGTTTAAAAAGACCGAATCTTATGGGTGAACGAACTGAATTGAATCACATGTGTAGTGGAAAAATAATATCCGTCTGTCGTTTTCATATGAACTTAAATGATTTAGATGTTCGTGAGTCATTTAGCAATTAAAAACTGTTTCTCTGTATGGCCTTGGTCTGTATCTCCAACAGGAACTCTCCTCATTATCTGAGTACAGCTTGATCCTAAATCAGTGCCCTCCGGATGAAGGAGTTTCTGTTGGTGTTCCTCTGTACCAGGTACCTTTATGGAAAGAAGGTTGCATAAATAAATCATCAGGCAAACTAGCAGAAGGCGTAGTCACAAGGGCAAGCTGAAACCAATGACGATGTATTATTCATGTGTATATATATAATATACCTACACACTCATGTATATGCTAAATACCTACACCCTGTGAAAATATAAATATGCTTTGCAACCAGGACTGCCCCGGGAATCTTTGATGCACTTGTGACTGATGTTGCTTTTGTCGCTGATTACCCCTTTTGCAAAAGAACTCTTTACTATATGCAATAAAATACACAACGACAAAAGACTTTGACTTGAGAGCTTTCATTACCAATAGGAAAATCCACAACACTTGCTGAAATAGGGAATTCTTTTTATAACTCATCGGATTTTATTCTATTAAGGAAAAAGGCTATGCCCATATAAGGGTTGTGGCAGATTTGATTGACAGCTCTGCGCGCTGCATATGTCTGTCAGTTCAGGAGCAGGTCAGGAGGCTATGTAGCAGCTTGAGCCGCCTGATTTCTCGTCTATTTTACTTCGTTTGGAGAGTTTGTTTAACACATATCTGACAACATACATGGCTTGCTGTGCGGTTAACAGACCATCCAACAAGTTGATGCGTCAGTTTTTTTCGGTAAGTGATATAGTAGTGTTATATTTACGGACCGAGCTTGTTTAGCGTTAGCTTGTAAACCAGTCGGCTAACTGTACTCAGTGTAGCCCATTATTTACGGCCAATGGTTTAGCCGATCAAGACTCCCATTCATGCCAAAGAAGCTAATGTTAACATATCTAGCCAGCACTATTAAACTGGGGAAAAAGTCATTCTGAATTGTTAGAAATGTTTGTTGTTAAGATGTTGTTGTTGAAAATAATGAGTTTGTGTGATGTTAGAAGCTAAAGGTTCACCTCGGTGGTTAACCGCAGACTGTAAATATGGTTATCTGACGTTATGATGAATGTTATACTCCACGTAAATGTCGACATTAAAAAACAAACTTTGTGTAGTACTTATCCGTCAGTACTTAACATAAACATAACTCAACTGAACCTAATATGCTGTAGGTTATAGAGGATGACATTAAAGTTACATGCTTGACGTAGTGTCTTAAGATTTGTGCAAACTGTTACCAAATTTAAAAAACAATTCACTTTGTATGAGTTCAGAGAAAATTTAATATGACTATTAATATAGTTCTTAATCGTTACAGATACTCTTAAACAGAATATAGCAGTAGAAATATAAAATAAAAATAAGATATAAAGCAATTAGTGCAAGAAATAGTTTGAAGAATACAGCCATGTACCGAACTCATGTTAATAATAAATGAGCTACTGTATGTTCTGTACTAAAGCACAGAGAGTTGGGACCTGTTAATGATTTAAATAATTCAGTTAGTATTTGTTTCATGTTAAGATGAAGTACTATCTACTATAAATTGCTTAATTTTTCCTCACACAAAATCTGAGGCAATTTGATGTGGAATATCATTGTGCAAGAGAGTGCTGAAAATAGCATGATTACAATAAGGTTTATCTTATTAACTTTGAATAGATGTTGATTACCTGAATACTGTACCTTTGTTGTCTGGGTAGTACGGTGTTGAATTCATAAATGTGCTCTTACACACAGATGAATACAGAAAATGCACAAAAAAATGATTTAATGAATAACTGCTATTTTCTCTCTTTCTTTGCCATCCTGAAGACCCCGCACTAAACGTCCATGTTCTCCTGGATCCATGTCACATGCTCAAGCTTCTTCAGAACGACATAACCACAGTCAAAGTTCTGGTGAGAGAAGATGGCCAGCAGATAAGACGGCAGTACATCAACGAGCTCCACAGGCTTCAGGAGGAGGAGGAGGGTTTGCACCTTGGAAGACTGTATTCATGCTTCAGCTGCTCAAATAAAAATAGATCTCCTCCTAACAACTTGCAATCAAACTATTTTTTTCCCATTTTAAAACCCTTTGTCCAGTGTAGTGGGAGTAGTTGATATTATGTGATATTGATCTGGGAAGACTACATTTCTAAATCATTTTTAACTGTGTTTTTATTCACAAGTTATTGATTTTATTTACTCTCGATGTATCTTGATTTAAGAATGGGGCTGTGTTTAAGGGCAAATTTTGCAATGACACTGTTCCATCCCATTTTAAGAAATGAACTGAATTAGTATTTGGTAAAAAAAAAATGTCAAAAGAATAAAAAGTTGTGTAAAAGTAGACTTCCTTCCCTTAGCTATTGAGTTGAGCATTAATGCACATTTTAGTCTTGTCATTTCAAATCTGAAATGTATACTCATAAGTAGACACAAAGGAGTGCATTTATATAGAAATATTTATTTAATCTGAAAAACCACATTCAAAAAGCCTGTTTTTACAGCAGAGATTAACATGTTTACAGCTTGGTACAAAAAAAACCAAATAGGTCTGATTAGCTCATGTCTCGATCGACACACACTGTACGGGGGTCATTTGATTTGATGAAGGATTAGAGTTATTCACAATAAGGCGTGTAGCTGACCAGCTTGACAGGCGGGCACGGTGTAACGGTTTGTCACGAGGTTTAAAACCCGCCTCAGCTCCAGCTCCAGCTCTCAGCCTGTGGGTGACATCACTCAGGCCATCCGGGGGAGACCTCCCTTGCAGCGAGCTATTGAAGAGAAGCAACCGAAGTCCACCCCAGAAGAACCAACAAATGCAGATGTTGTTGAGGCTCAGGTTTCTTTCTCTGTCTCTGCAGCTCTCTGGGCACCTCGACGGACCAGTCACCAATAATCCACACTGTGTCTATAGGAGAAATACAAAGGTGTTCAATTAATGCCTCAGACAAGACAAAATGTACAGTTAACTACATGTGACATCTCAGGGTGTTTTTTTTTGTTATTAGCCACATCTGCAGGAATAATATTGGACAAGGTAGCTGCAACTCATAATAATAGATGCCAGTCTTAAAACACTATTTTTTCTAATACTTAAAGTTTTTGTGTGAAGCTGACACTGGCCACAGACTCCATGACTTCACGGGGTCCTATAGAAAACAAATGTCTTATAATAAATACAAAATAATTATTTTTCAATTGTCATGTTCACCGTCATCGCTGTTGACATCAGTAAATATAAGTCCAAGCCATTCCTCTTTTTGTCAGAACAGTAAAATGAACTGTATGCATTGTAATATTGATTTCTTCTGGATGTCTCAAATATTTATTTACAGTCTATGGTCTAACAGTAGTTTTATCAACAACGAAAAGAAAAAAGATGCCAAAGCTCTTGTCTTTTAAAGTTTAAAACAGACTTCTTATCCTTAAACATGTTCTTACACCCAAGTAATGATTTGTAACACAATGTGAGAATTTAAATGTAAAGATTAGCCTCAAAATGTTTCTTACATGTTATGATAAATCTTTGCTAATGTATTGCTCTGCTAACCCTGACAAAGTCAAACTGCTCTGATAAATAACTAATAACCATAATTGTATATTTAAAAAAGTGTAGTTTTAAAACTTTAATTAAATATTTGGGTTGAATATAATTCGTTTTAACTGTGTTGTAGAAAAGTTAAATGTTAACTTACTGTTTATAGAGTTTTCTCAGGACGAGCAGGAAAGCAGTAGGGGATGATAGCAGCCTAGCCGTTAGCTATGCTGTGAAGTGGACTGCTAATGTTGAGCTGAATGGGCGGAGTTAAGTCCCGCCGGTCCCGCCTTACTACTGTTGCTAGGTTGATCCGAAGTTAGGTTGAGACTGCAAATCCAATATGGATGCGGCCGTCGATTGGACTCATTTGCTGCCTATGTAACAGACGGGTCAGGGTTTGTCCAGTAATATTTACAGTCTATGGTGGTAACATACAGTAACTAACATACAGTAACTAAACCTTTAAACCACTCATTAAAAGCACGACCATAAACCACGTTACTTGGTGGCTGACTGTTCAGATTGTATGAGATTGCTCCGTCTTCTATGTCTCATGGTGCTAAAAAAATTGTTGCATATGCTCGGACAATTTCCGTGTTTACGTTAGTGAGACCACAAGCTCACGACTGGAGGTGACTTACAGGCAGACAAAACTGAAAGGGACTGGACTTGGTTTTATTCATTTGAATGTGCACAGTTTAACCTCTAAACTTGATATGATGCGTATTTGGGCGCATTCAACTGATGCAGATGTTATTGTTTTATCTGAATCATGGTTGAGTAAATCGGTTATGGACAAAGACATTGGTATTGAGGGTTATAATGTTTTTAGGACTGATCGACCTAATGGGGGAGGAGGGATTGCTATTTATGTAAAAACTAAGTTTCATGTATAAAGTCCTACTGTCCAAATCACTGAGTAAACAATTTGAATTCCTGGCTCTTGAGATTTCAAAAAGGCTTCACATTACTGTTGCAGGCTGCTATAGAACACCTTCAGCAGTCAGTGATGCACTTCCCTCTTTAATGAACTTCACATCAAAAGTAAATGCTAATGAAATTGTTGTTAATGGTGATTTTAATTGGAACTGGATGACTTCAGTGTCCGATGATTTTAAGGCACAATTTGACGCATTGAATCTTTTTAAGATTGTTAATAAACCAACTCGACCCAATCTGAAAGGTCCTATTAAATCATCTTTGGTTGATCTCATTTTAACTAATGTTCCTGACAAGTATTCTCCTGTGTCCATCTTTGCAAACGATATCAGTGACATCTGTGCTATTGCCACAGTGAGAAACACCAAGATCCCCAAATCCAAAACCACAGATCATTATTTAAAGAAATATGAAGCGTTTTGTGGAACAGGGATTTTTTCATGACCTCTTTGCCTTTGACTGGGAGAAAATTAATCTTATTGTTGATGTTGAGAGTGCATGGAAGTATTTTTATAATGGTTTTGTAGGTATTGTTGATAAACATGCTCCTTTCAAAAAAATCAGGGTAAAAGGTTGTGATACTGCATGGTTTACTCCTGACCTATCTGTGTTACTGAATGAGCACAATGCAGCTTGGGCTAAAGTGCGGGGTTCTGGCCTAAACTTCGATTGGTTGATTTTTAGACAACTGCGGAATGCTTGTATGGTAGTGTTTTGTGCTGTAGTGTTGTGTATGAGTGTGTTTTGTGTTTGTTTCTCTCTCTCCCTCTCCTGTTGCTCGCAGGTTGGTGCTCTCCCTACAGCTGGTGATTGAGCTCACCTGATGTCGCTTAGAAATCAAGGGACTCAGCAATAAAAGAAGAAGAGAGAAGGAAGCAGTGGGTCAAATTGTGATTGGGAGGAAGCAAGAGCTTAACTTACTTCTTCAGTGGAAGAAGGGTGTAGCCATAGTTAATATTTTCTTTTGTTAAATAGGATTTTGTGTTGGTGTTTAATTTTATCAGTGTTTGTCTTCTATTTAGTTATTCTTGAAAGAAGCTTATTTTCAGTTAAATTGTGTATCCAGTTAAAGTTGGTAAAAAAAAATATTTGTTCGTTTTTCTAAATACCCGTCTTTTTTCTTCATTCCCAATTTTCAATTATTATTGTTACTCCCCTCCCCCTTAGCCATTTCGGGAAATGTAACAGGTAGCATCAAAAAAGTTACGGAGAGCATTTCCATAGTGAAACTTCCACTAATCTCAATAATACCAGGTTGTTCTGGAAGACTATAAAGTCATTATCTGGAAATAGGAAAGGTGTAGAACTTCCCCCTTGCATTGTCAAGGACTCTCAAAACATTGCTGACAAAGCAACAATGCTTAATTTATTCAATGAGCACTTTATTGCCTCTGGGTCCCTGTTTGAAACAGTAAACCATGTGCAGACTAAATCCCCTGTCCATTCTGTACATCATGAAACTGTTCCTCTTTTATCTGATTTTAGGCCAGTTATCGTTGCTGAGGTGCACAAAGTCCTCAGACTTTTAGAAATAAAGACACTTGGTTTCACGAACTATACTTCTATGTATTCTCCTATCCATCAAAATCCTGATTTGAAAAAAACATTTAACATCAATTAATATAAATAAATGGACAAGTTTCGACATAAAACAATTTAGAGATTTGTTTCATAAAAACTTACAACCAAAATCATTCATTGACTTAAAAACTGAATATGGCGTCCCGAACACAGATTTTTTTTAAATATCTACAGATTCGGAATGTTGTTGGATCACTAATCAAAGAAAAAAAGTTACGCTTTGGATTATCAGAAATGGAGGATACATTCATTTCCTCAATAACAATTAAAGGTAAAATTAGCGAAGTATATGGTATCCTATTTACAACGGGTCATTCATGTTTTCTAACTTTATTAAATATCTGGGAAAAGGACCTAGGGTTGTTTTTAAATGAAAATATTTGGTCAAACATTTGTGAAAGAATACATTTCCCATATACAAGTTACAAAATCAAGGAAGCTAATTTAAATTTCATTCATAAATTCTATCTCACCCCAATAAAGATGCATAAAATCTCAGAAGATAACTCACCAAAGTGTCTGTGATGTAAAAATGAAGATGGAACATTTTTGCACATGTTTTGGCAATGTGATGTGCTGAAGGATTTTTGGAAGTCTATTCATTCCTTTACTAAATCTGTTTTGGAAATGGAATTTGATTTAAACCCTTGTCTGTATTTATTAAATGACTCCCCAGATTTTCAGTTAGATAGGAAAAAAAAATGCAGAATATGACATTTATAACATATTTTGCCAAGAAATGTATATTACTTTTTTGGAAAAATGAATCTCCGACAACCTTTAAGTTGTTTTTGGATCAACAGTCACAGTTCTTACCGTTACAGAAACTAACCTTGGAAAAATATAACCGTGGCCATATTTTTCAGGACTTTTGGCTTCCATTGATCTGTTGCTTGGAGGAATTTTCTAAAGGTTGTTAACAACGATAATGCCATGATGCTATGATGTTATGATATCTAATTATTATTATTATTATTTATTTTTTTGTCTCGTCTTACTATTTTTACTATTATTACTGTTAGGATTGTTTTTCTTGTTTTTTGCTTAGTTTTTCTGTGTATGCATTTATTGACTCTTCGAAGGCCTTCGATACTGATACAACGACCATGCAATTTTAAAAAAGAGACTTTTTTCTTTTGCTGCAAAAAAAACAACTTGTTGCTGCTACTTTCATGCCTGATTGATTATGGTGATGTTTTATATATGCACACTAACCTGAGAGTATCCAGTCTACAGAGTGGACTCTTTAGTCCAGCAGACAGCAGCATCACTCCGGAGTCATGCAGGTTGTTGTTGCTCAGGTCCAGCTCTCTCAGACTAGAGGACTGGGAGCTGAGGACTGAGGACAGAGCTTCACAGCTTCTCTCTGAGAGGCTACAGACACTCAGCCTGAAGTGGATTTTCAACCAATCATTAAAATGATTATTACATTAAGTGATACAGTGCTTGGATTGTCATTTTTTTTTAAATACCTGCACACTAACCTGAGAGTTTCCAAACTGCAGAGTTGACTCTTAAGTCCAGGAGACAGCAACTTCACTCCAGAATCATGCAGATTGTTGTTGGTCAGGTCCAGCTCTCTCAGACTACAGGACTGGGAGCTGAGGACTGAGGACAGAGCTTCACAGCTTCTCTCTGAGAGGTTACAGCCACTCAGCCTGAAGAGGAGTTTTTTGTATAAAAATGAAAATATCAAATAAATAAGTACATGCAAGCAAATTGGGTAAACTTTTGCATGAACAAGTCCTGACCTGACAGTTTCCAGTGTACAGAGTGGAGTCTTCAGTCCAGCACACAGCAGCTTCACTCCTGAATCCTGCAGGTTGTTGTTGCTCAGGTCCAGCTCTCTCAGACTAGAGGACTGGGAGCTGAGAACTGAGGACAGAGCTTCACAGCTTCTCTCTGAGAGGTTACAGACACTCAGCCTGAAGAGGAGTTTCAACCATTCAATAAACTGATTAATACATGAAGTGATTATGTGAATAATGAAGTGAATGTGCAGTGCGCATGCCCCAAGAGTGCAAGCTGCCTGCTACAGTTTGCCCTGTTCTTTTCTTACTTTTGGTACTTTACTGTCCTTATTTTTATTGTTATTGCTCTGTTTTTGTTGCTGGCAACTTTTTAAGCTGTACCCTTCCTATCCATGCTTTGGGGAGAATTCTGGACAGTTTATTACCATCCTCACCACCGTTGCGCAGCAACCCCGTATTGTTTACAGCCTGGAGCAGCTGATCGCGCTGACGACGGTTGGCTCGGCGGCTACATCACTGCTTATTCCAACGGACATACAGATATTTAGGACACATAGGGGATGCAGAGGAGGAAAGAAGCTGCAAGGGAAGAGAGTGGAGGATGGAAAGACGGAAACGTATAGACAGGACTTTTAAGCCGTGTCTCCCTTCTCTTATCATGGGCAACGTGAGTTCCCTGGCGAACAAGATGGAGTCAGAGAGAGTATCGGGAATGCAGCATGATGTGTTTCACGGAAACATGGCTGCATCAAGATGTTCCCGACATCAACGTCAGGATCAACGGCTTCCAGCCTCTCTGGGCTGATCGGGATGCCACCGGGAGCGGTAAGAAGAAAGGCGGTGGGCTTGCAGTTCTCATTAACAACAGATGGTGTAATCTCAGCCACTTAACTATTAAAGATCGTGTTTGTTGCTCAGACATTGAACTGTTTGCCATGGGACTCATGCCTTATTATTTGCCCAGGGACATCTCCCATGTTATCATCCTGGCTGTTTACATCCCCCCCTCTGCTAACCCGACGACGGCGTGTAACGTCATACACACCGTAGTATCCAAACTACAGACTGACCACCCTAGTGCCTTAATCATTATCTCGGGTGACTTCAACCACGTCACCATGGCTAAAACACTGCCAAGCTACACAGTATGTGAGCTGCACACCCAAAGGGAAGAGGACCCTGGACTTGCTGTATGCTAATGTAAAAAACGCATACAGCTCCTCACGTCTCCCCCTCTTGGAAGATCAGACCACAACCTGATCCACCTCACCCCCTGCTATGTACCTCTGGTGAAAAGGCAGCCTGTGACAGTGGAGATGGTCAGAGGAAGCCTATGGCACACTGCAGAGTTGTTTTGAGGTGACAGACTGGCAGGCATTCTGTGATCCCCATGGAGAGGACATCAACGGGCTCACAGAGTGCATCACGGACCACATCAACTTCTGTGTGGACTGCACTGTCCCAGCAAGGATTGTCCTTTGTTATTCAAACAAAAATCCATGGATTACAAAGGACATCAAGGCCATCCTCAACACCAAGAAAAGGGCCTTCAGAGATGGTAATCAGGAGAAAGTGAGAAAAACTCAAGAGGTCCTGAAAGTGAAGATCAGAAGAGCGAAAGCTCCAGCAGAACAACATGAGGGAGGTCTGGAGTGGCATGAGGACCATCACAGGCTTCAAGACGACCAGCAGAAAAGGAGTTGATGGCAGCGTGGACAGGGCCAACCAGCTGAATCTATTCTTTAATAGATTTGACACGGTCCCTGCTCCCACACCCCGTCCCAACTATCTGCCTGCAGCCACCAGCCACTCCACTGCCCCCTCCCCCTCCTCAGAGCCCACGATCTTCAGGTGAGGGTCCTTTGCACCCCCCCTCCTCTGGCTCCCTGTCTTCGAGTGAGGGTACTTCTCACCCCCCTACTCTGGTTCCCAGTCTTACAGCCCTTTCTTAGCAGACGACTCATCCACCCCAACCATGTCCTTCACTGCTGACCATGTTAGAAGACAGCTGATGAGACTCCACGCAGGCCCAGCCCCAAGGTGCTCAAAGCCTGTGCCCCCCAGCTCTGTGGAGTACTTCACCGTGTCTTCAGCATGAGCCTGAGTCTTCAGAGAGTCCCCATGCTGTGGAAGATGTCTTGCATCATTCCTGTACCAAAGACTTCACGCCCCAGCGACGCCAAGGACTACAGACCGGTGGCACTGATGTCCCACATCATGAAGACCCTGAAGAGACTCATCCTGGATCAGCTCCGGCGGACAGTCAGTTCCCACTTAGACCCCTTCCAGTTCCCCTACCAGCCCCAACTGGGAGTGGAGAATGCCATCGTGTTCCTGCTCAACTGTGTCTACGCTCACCTGGACAAGCCAGACAGCACAGTGAGGGTCATGTTTTTTGACTTCTCTAGTGCCTTTGACACCATCAGGCAGGCTCTACTGGGTGAGAAGATGGCAATAATGCAGGTTGATGCTCCTCTCGTCTCATGGATTGTGGACTACCTGACTGGTAGACTACAGTATGTACGCCCTACACACTGTAAGTCAGACAGAGTGGTCAGCAACACTGGGGGCCCACAGGGGACGGTCCTGTCTCCCTTCCTCTTCACCCCCTACACCACAGACTTCAAATACAACACCAAGTCCTGCCACCTTCAGAAGTTTTATGACGACTCGGCTGTGGTTGGATGCATCAGCAAGGGTGAGGAGGCTGAGTACAGGGCTGTGGTGAGTGACTTTGTCGCATGGTGCAAGCAGAATCACTTCCTGCTCAACATGGCCAAGACAAAGGAGCTGGTGGTGAATCTAAGGAGGAAAAGGGCACTAGTGACCCCTGTTTCCATTCAGGGGGTCAGTGTGGACAGAGTGGAGGACTACAAGTACTTGGGGGTTTATTTGGACAATAAACTGGACTGGAGTAAAAACACAGAGGCCATCTACAAGAAGGGCCTGTGCCGCCTCTACTTCCTGAGGAGGCTGAGGTCCTTTAACATCTGCAGGAAGATGTTGAAGATGTTTTACGAGTCTGTGGTGGCCAGTGCTATCCTGTTTGCTGTTGCATGCTGGGGCAGCAGGCAGAAAGTAGCGGACTCCAACAGACTTCATAAACTGATTTGCAGGGCCAGCGACATTGTGGGGGTGGAGATGTACTCTCTGATGGCGGTGTCAGAGAGGAGGACACTGTCCTTGCTGCGTGGCACCTTGAACAATGTCTCTCACCCACTCCACGACGTTTTGGCAAAACACAGGAGCACTCTGAGTGCAAGACTCATTACCCCATGATGCACCACAGAACGCCACAGAAAGGTCGTTCTTGCCTGTGGCCATCAGACTCTATAACTCTTCCACTTGGGTGTCAGACAATGAGTCTGCAATTTTCCTGGACTATTACCTTGACTATTTTTCTACTAAAACTGTGCAATCTGTTGAAAACTGGACAACAGAAACCTGCCTGAATCTGTTGATTTAATATTCAACAGAGTGAAGATCAAACCTACTTTGCAATGATCATAAGGAGTTACCCCAAGTAAGAGCTTTTGTCTGGGCAGAAATAGTTTCAGAAATAGTTACATTTCTTATATACCCACTGATAATTATGCATCATTGTTGACGAGACGTCACATTCTGTTTATTATCTGTTGTAAGCTGCTGCATTTGTTTTATTGTGATGAACCGCCATGTTCGCCTATCTGTGTAATACTATGCTAGTTTACCATCTTGTTTTCTCTCTCTCTCTCATCCACACAAACACACACATGCACACACATAACTACACTTTTACACCTCATTCACAAGTTTTTCTTGATAATGTTTGTTTGCTTAGATTAGTTTGTAATAATTATTTGTTTGATTAAGTTCATAGCTTTTGGATTGATTTTGCTTTGTTTAAATAAATTCTGTTATAATTTAAGAGAGCAGTTGTTTGTGATTACTGGTGTATTTGCATTGTGATATAAGCTGGGTACAAGGGCTTTGTGTAAGGATTTCACGCCTTCGATTTATTAAATATAGTTATCAATTTTTAATAATATTAATAATTAAGTAACTAATTTGAGACTGATTTTAGTGATATTTTGGTTATTTTCCCCTGATTTCAGGGTGGTGCCCCCGAGTTGATTAAACATAGTTTCATGATATTGTTATTTATATTAATAATAATTAAATATAATTATTAAAGAATATAACCAAAGTTGACAAGATAAAACCCCAACATGAAATTATCTGTACTTCCTACTGATTTTTGGTGTTATGTGCAACTGTAGTAAACAAATATCCCCCTGGAATTAATAAAGTATTTCTGATTCTGATTAAGAATGTCATTATTTTTTTAAAACCTGCACACTAACCTGAGAGTGTCTAGTCTGCAGAGTGGAGTCTTTAGTCCAGCACACAGCAGCTTCACTCCTGAATCCTGCAGGTTGTTGTTGCTCAGGTCCAGCTCTCTCAGACTAGAGGACTGGGAGCTGAGGACTGAGGACAGAGCTTTACAGCTTCTCTCTAAGAGGTTACAGCCACTCAGCCTGAAGAGGATTCAGAAGAACACAAATGAAAGCAATTGCAAACAATAGTTGTTATTTCTGAATAAAGAGAATTACATTTAACTGGATAGTTATGGAGCACGTACAGAGCTTTGTTTGAAGCTTTGATCACAGGCAGCAGCCTCAGAAGAGCCTCTTCTGAATCAGAGTATTTTTTCAGGTCAAACACATCCAGGTCTTTTTCTGATGACAGTAAGATGAAGACCAGAGCTGACCACTGAGCAGGAGACAGTTTATCTGTGGAGAGACGTCCTGATCTCAGGGACTGTTGGATCTCCTCCACTAGAGAACGATCATTCAGTTCATGCAGACAGTGGAACAAATTGATGCTTTTCTCTGCAGACAGATCCTCACTGATCTGCTTCTTGATGTACTTGACTGTTTTCTGATTGGTCTGTGAGCCACTTCCTGTCTGTGTCAGCAGACCTCGTATGTGATTCTGATTGGTCTCTAGTGAAAGACCGAGGAGGAAGCGAAGGAACAAGTCCAGGTGTCCATTAGGACTCTGTAAGGCCTGGTCCACAGCACTCTGATATAAAAGTGTTGTGTCAGGTTTTTCTCTGAATACTGTGGACCACCAGGATGTTTCTTGTTCTTCTGACATCAGATTGACTCCAGAGTTGATGAAGGTCAGATGGACATGAAGAGCAGCCAGAAACTCCTGAACACTCAGATGGATGAAGCAGAACACCTTTTCCTGGTACAGTCCTCTCTCCTCTTTGAAGATCTGTGTGAACACTCCTGAGTACACTGAGGCTGCTCTGATATTGATGCCACACTCAATCAGGTCTGAGTCATAGAAGATCAGGTTTCCTTTCTGCAGCTGCTCAAAAGCCAGTTTTCCCAGAGACTCAATCATCTTCCTGCTCTCTGGACTCCAGTGTGGATTTGTCTCAGCGCCTCCATCATACTTGATGTTCTTCAGTTTGGACTGAACCACCAGGAAGTAGATGTACATGTCAGTCAGGGTCTTGGGCAGCTCTCCTGTCTTGGTGGTGTTCAGCACATCCTCCAGAACTATAGCAGTGATCCAGCAGAAGACTGGGATGTGGCACATGATGTGGAGGCTTCTGGATGTCTTGATGTGGGAGATGATTCTGTTGGCCTGCTCCTTATCTTTGAACCTCTTCCTGAAGTACTCGTCCTTCTGTGGGTCAGTGAACCCTCTGACCTCGGTCACCATGTCAACACACTCAGGAGGGATCTGATTGGCTGCTGCAGGTCGTGTGGTTATCCAGAGGCGAGCAGAGGGAAGCAGTTTCCCCCTGATGAGGTTAGTCAGCAGCACATCCACTGAGGTGGACTCTGTGACATCAGTCAGGATCTCGTTGTTTTTAAAGTCCAGAGGAAGTCGACACTCATCCAGACCGTCAAAGATGAACACATTCTGGAACTCTTCAAACCTGCAGAATCCTGCTTCATTGGTTTCAGGAAAGAAGTGATGAACAAGTTCCACCAAGCTGAAATTTTTCTCTTTCAGCACATTCAGCTCTCTGAAAGTGAATGGAAATGTGAACTGTATGTTCTGGTTGGCTTTGTCTTCAGCCCAGTCCAGAGTGAACTTTTGTGTTAAGACTGTTTTCCCGATGCCAGCCACTCCCCTTGTCATCACTCTTCTGATTAGTTCATCTCTTCCAGGTGAGGCTTTAAAGACGTCTTCTTGTCTGATGGTTGTTTCTGGTCTGTCTGGTTTCCTGGATGCTCTTTCAATCCGTCTGACCTCGTGTTCATCATTGACCTCTCCAGTCCCTCCCTCTGTGATGTAGAGCTCTGTGTAGATCTGGTTCAGAAGGGCTGGGTTTCCTGCTTTAGCAATCCCCTCAAACACACACTGAAACTTCTTCTTCAGGTTAGATTTGAGTTTACGCCGGTACTCTGCAGCAACTGTTCCTGAATAAAGAAAGAACTGAAATCAATGAACAGATCCTGATAAAGATCACATGACTATCTGAGTTTGGAACTTTAAACCTCTTTGTCCTTTTTCTAAAATACTAAATCTGTTCAAATGTTCTTACTGCTCGGATTCAACAGGGAGACCGCTAGGGTGTGCAGGGATGTAGGACGCGTTTCTCCGCTGCTCCTAGGAATGTGACTTACTTTTTCAAACTTTTGGCAATATCCTGGTCATTTATAGTTCCAATTCACAGAGTATATATTTACAAGTACTGTAGGTGACTTTTGTCAACCAAAACAACCAAAATCTCTTCTGCGCGTCAAAAATCGGAGCCGGCAAGAGGAGGCCACAGCAAAACATTGCCCTGTCATGAATCGGCTGCTCAATAGGTTGTTGATTCTAGTGCTAACGCTCTCGATGCCGAACTTCTGAAATTCATGATGGACTCCCTTAAAGCTGATATCTTCGGAAAACTTGACTCTCTGTCATGCAGTCTCTGCTCCGAGATTACCTCCATTCTTAAAGAGGTAAAAGAGTCGATAGAACCACTGCAAAAAAAAGTCGAGCAACACAGGCTAACCATGCTAGAGCTCGAGCAAGCAGCTACTGACCATAGTGGCCGTATAACGGAGCTGGAGGCTACTGTTAGCAAGCTAACAGCTAAAGTTAGGTATCTGGATGATCGATGTGAGGACCTTGAGGGGAGATCCAAGAGAAACAATATCCAGCTTGTGGGTTTACCGGAGGGATCGGAGGCCCCGTGCTACTGAATTCATTGCCCAACTTCTAGAAGAATTACTTCGCCTGGATGAAAAGCTGCTGCTGGATTGTGCCCATCGGACGCTGCGGGACAAGCCTAAAGAGGGAGCTTCACCCTGACCATTTGTGGTGAGAGTGCACTACTTTCACCTTCGCTACAAGATTCTTCACCGAGCTGGGGAACTCTCCCCTCTCCTTTATCGAGGCAAGAAGGTTTCCATCTTTGCTGACTACACTTCTACTGTTGCTAAAAAGATGGCTGCCTTTGGAAATGTTAAACGGCTACTCCACTCATGCCCGGGCATCAAGTTTGGGCTGCTATTACCGGCTACACTCAGAATAACACTGCTGAGCAGAGACACACTTTGGTTTGAGGACCCAGCCACCGCAAACGACTATTTCAACAAGCACCTCAAGAAAGCTGTCACCCCAGGTGATGTTTGAAGAGACATAGCTTATGTGAGTTTATGCCGCTGATTAACCGTGCCTTCATTCATTTGTTCACATTGACTTGGACTACATTTCCCAGTAAGGCATTGCTGCACAGCGCACTAAAGGGTGACTCGGTTAGCTGTCATTTACGGCTATGTTTCTCTTTTTTTCTCTATAGATACTCTGTTTATTCTATACGTGTTCATGTTTGACTACATCACTTTTCTCCCTCAGGTAGCTGTGCGTGGAGCGTTTAGCACATCTTATAAGGGTTAATGCGCGTGTCTCGTTTGGGGAGACACTTCTGCCAGGGTGGGTGGGGGCAACGTGGTTAATTTACCACAAGGGAATGTTCTGTTTTGTGTTCTTTGTTGGTTTTGTGGTGGGTCTGCTTGGTCTATATGTGCGAAATACATGCACTAAATACTGGTATCTTACCTTCACATCACTTTTTTTTTCCAGTCCTTGCTTCTCATGACATTACCATAGCTTTGCCTAAATTATCACAGCATGATAGGGGTGGGATAAAATTTTGCAGCTGGAACTGCAGGGGTTTAAATAATCCCATTAAGCATAGCAAGGTCCTGCACCATCTTCAGCACCTGGGTGCCCAGATAATCTTTTTACAAGAGACTCATCTTAAAGTATCTGATCATTCCAGACTAAAAAGTAGCTGGATTGGCCAGATTTATCATTCTTAATTTCCCGGTAAATCCAGAGGAGTAGCCATTATGTTCCACAAATCTGTTCCCTTTGTTTGCTCTAAGGTTATTGCGGACACAAATGGGAGATACGTAATTGTTAGTGGCAAAATTCACAAAACACAGATGCTTTTTGTTAATCTTTATGGTCCCAATTGGGATGATGACGGCTTTTTTAAAACACTGTTCTCCATTCTACCAGACATATCCTCACATTTTCTTGTTGTCACATTATTGTTGGAGGAGATTTCAATTGTTGGCTTGATCAGAAAATGGATCGCTCCTCCACCCAAAATTGTACTTCCTCGAAGTCCGCTAAGTTGATTCAGTCTTATAAAGAACACTTTGCCATATCTGACCCCCGGCGTTTTTTTAACCCTTCTGGTAGAGAGTATTCATTTTTCTCTAATGTGCATCATACCTTTACTCGTATTGATTATTTTCTCGTTGATAATAGAATCCTTCCATCTGTAAAATCAGTTTCATATAATGCAATAGTCATATCCGACCATGCCACAGTCACTATGGACATAAAACTTGAAGGATTTGATAACAACCACTCTCTATGGCGTTTCAACAACCGCTTACTTTCAAACAAGGACTTTGTGGATTTCATCTCAAAGCAAATAGACTTCTTTCTCAGCGTAAATAAGTCCCCAGATGTGTCTGTATCTGTGTTATGGGAGACCCTAAAAGCTTATATTAGAGGTGAAATAATCTCCTATTGTGGTTTCGAGAAGAAAATTAAAAAAGATAAGTTTAGCGAACTGACGAAATGCATTTCACTATTAGATGCGATATATGCCGTCTCCCCCTCTCCATCTCTTTTCAAAGAACGTCTTTCTCTGCAGACTGAGTTTGAGGTTCTAACCACAGATCACAACAGAAATGCTACTGAAGTCCAGATATACTTTTTACGAACAAGGGGACAAGGCCAGTCAGTTGTTAGCCCACCAACTGCGACAGACCTTGGCAACTCACCAAAATCCACAAATAGGTACAGCTTCAGGTGTGACTATTGATCCTAAGACAATTAATTACGAATTTAGGGATTTTTACAAATAGCTATACACTTCAGAAAATACAGCAGAGATTTCTCACTTTGAAAGTTTCTTTAACTCACATAATATACCCAATGTCCATCCTGATGTTGCTATTGACTTGGAAAGAGATATTACTGTTGAAGAACTCGTTACAGCAGCCAGGTCTATGCAGTCTGGGAAGTGCCCAGGGCCGGACGGATACACTGTTGAATTTTATAAGACGTTTCTCCATAAATTAGCCCCTAACTTGATTGATATGTTTAACGAATCATTTGAATCTCTTTCATTGCCCCAGACACTTACCCAAGCCTCAATCTCCCTTATATTGAAAAAGAATGAAGACCCTCTTTCCTGTGCTTCATTCCGCCCCATCAGTCTTCTGAATGTGGACTCTAAATTACTATCCAAACTTTTAGCCTTACGCCTTGACTCAATACTTCCATCCATAATTTCCCCTGATCAAACGGGTTTCATTAAATGTAGGCATTCCTATTTTAATTTAAGACGTCTGTTCAATACAATTTATAACCCACCTACATCTACTGTTTCAGAAGCTTTAATATCTTTGGACACTGAGAAAGCTTTCGACCGTGTAGAGTGGGGTTACCTTTTTTACACACTAGACAGATTTGGTTTTGGTCAAAAGTTCATTACATATGCCCAATTTCCAAACCTGCCTGCCAATACAACCCTAGATACTCTCTTTATTCAAGTCCCAATCATGAGAAGAGGTATGATTTCACATATTTATAGTCAAATTCAAACCCTATCCTCAACCTCTTTGAATATTGTGAAGGCTCTCTGGGAGGAGGAACTGGGGGAGGGCATTTCAGAAGAGCTCTCGGGGGATATTCTTAAACGGGTGCATACCTCATCTATCTGTGCCAGGCATGGCTTAATCCAATGTAAAGTGGTTCACCGCACTCACTGGCCTAAGGTTAGACTCTCCAAGATCTATGACACAGTTGACCCGTCCTGTGAGAAATGTCACCAGACACCTGCAAACTATGTCCACATGTTCTGGTCCTGCACATCTTTGTATAATTATTGGACTGCAATTTTTATAACTCTATCGGAGGTAACTGGGACATTTCTACAACCAAATGCTATGGCTGCCTTGTTTGTTTGTTTCTCTCAGGTGCCCTTACCTAAACCGCAATCAGATATAATCGCCTTTGTTACTTTATTGGCTCGACGCCTCATTCTAATGAGGTGGAAATCAACAACACCCCCTTCCCACACCCTCTGGGTAAAAGAGATTTTTAATAACTTAAAACTCAAAAGAATTCGATATACATTGAAAGGATCCTCTCGTAAATTCAGAGAAGTGTGGGGCCCCTTCCTTGTTAATGCAGAAAATATTATTTTCCCACTTGTTCCTGAATAAGATCCTGCTCTGTCCTGCTGCTAGCCTCTTTGTCAATTAAGCCTTGTAATTATTATATTGATGTTTGTATTTATTTATTGTTTCTTTTTTGTCTTCCCTCTTCTACTCTGCTTTAAGGACTGAGATTGTTATGCATACTAACAGCCGTGATCCATAGTATGACCAGACTGACCACCCTGTTCCAATGTTGTTTGTTTTTGTTTGTTGATGTAAACCTTGCAACACTGTCACTCACAAGTACTGTGAACCTATTGCCTCTTTGTGTACAAAAATTTAATAAACAAAACTGTTAAAAAAAAAAAAGAAAAGTTCTTACTGCTCTGCAGACAGTCAGCCAGCCCCTCCTGCTTCATTCTCCTCAGGAAGTGGAGAGTGATCTTCAAAAATGCCTCTTTACATCTTCTCCCCTGCTCTTCATCCTCACTCTGACTCTCTAAGCATTCTGGGTAATCTGGACTCAGAACCCTGTAGACTCTCTTTAGCTCGTTCTTCACAAAGGTGACGATGTTCTCCTCCAGCAGCTGGAACAGAAGGAGAAACTGGATATTTAATATAAACTGGTAGAACTCAACATGCGATTCATCTCTCAGTCTGAAGGTCAGCTGGCCAAAACAGAGCAATAACTTAGCATTAAATTATTGTAATGGTAGTAAATTATATAACAATGTGTTGCACACACCATAAAGATGGAGTCTGTTGGATTCTGCTGGTCTGATTGATCTCTGTGAACCTCGGAGCTCTCCTGTTGAACTCTGTGACAGGAAATATTACACAAGAAAACAACGGGTCATATATTGTGAAGCTCTGAGCCAAGATATGAGTCTTTGAACAACAGACTCAGAACATTTACTTCATTTTTCTATTCTTACCTTCCATCAGCAGGATGTCCATCTTTAAAGTCAATAAGACGACCCTTAGAGTTGTCACTCTTTATGGACACACAGCTGGGTCCAGGAGAGTCTGGTCTCTGTTCCTGCATCCTGATACAAACAAACAGCTGGTTAATGAAAGCATTTAGAACAAAGATCAATTTTCAATCAGATTGTTCCAGTTCAAACTAGCAGATGGATAATCAGTAATCAGGAGGCAGAGGTGAAGTTCTCCACAGTTCTCTCTGTTTCTATTCGAACAGTATCTCACTCAGAATCAGTGACGTGCAGTGAGGTTCGTGGCTGGTGAGGCACTGACTTTTTTAGAGTCAGATTTACAAATATATGAACCCATTTATAGAGTAGTTTAAACTCACCATTCAATTGGCAGCTTGCACATTGACTACAGGTTGTGTTTCATATCTCATATCAGCATTATTTACACACACATAGAGGTAAGGTGCATATTTGGCCAAGGAAGAACGTTACATTCATAGCACCTCAGAATTTTTTTTCCATTACAATTCACACTCATTCAATAAAAATAAAAGTAGGCATATACTGCGGTGTATTCATTGTCTTACCTTTACTTGTAAACGAAGTCCATTCGCCTATCCTTCTGGACTAAAATATCTGTGACTTTGTTGTAAAAGTCCTCATTATCTTCTTTTAGTTTTAAAAGTCTTCATTATTTATCACTTCACGTTTTGATTGAAAGTCCATTTTTGAGAAATCTTTAAGCTAGATATAAAGTCTTCCTTTACATTTTTGCAATCAGAGCGAAATTTTAAAATAAAAATTCTGCATAGAAGAGGAGCAACATAAACTCTTGGCCTTATGAGCCTCACGCATCCTTCAGTTGAGGCAGAGGGACTGGCTGCCTCACCTCATGCTTTTTCAATGCGGTTTTATGTCAAATTAGAAAGATTAAACATGTTATAAACACGTGAAATACATTACTTATTCTATGGAAAGTGAGGACGTATAATAAAAGTGTCTACAAACATTACATGGTGACAAACAGTAAGAAAGCAAAAGGCGTACGCTCAACCCAGTTTGTGAGGGATTGCGCAATCTGAGATGAGGCACAACTTGTCGCTGCCTCACCTCGCTTGTCTCCGGCGGAGCCATCCAGAAATATGCGTATTCAGCAACTTTGATCATGAAAATTATTGACATTTTTGGAATCGTACAGAAATAACATTTATAACACAGATCAGTAGAAAATATATATATTTATTTTATTTAATCATTATTTGTTTTTTACTCTTGATGATGACAGGTGAGGCTCTGCCTGTCTCCCCTGACCGCACTTACAGCCAGAAGAACTCAGGCTACCTACAGACAGACGTTCATAAATATACTACCAGTGACCACCGGGCTGGGGGGGGTAGAAGGACAGCCTCAACAAGATGAGCCACAGGACAAAGATTTATAAAATAATAAATGATTACAGATAAAATGAATCCCAAATAGGGCCCACAACTGGCTCAGAACGTAGTGTAAGATGTCCACTAATATCATGAATACAGACCTTACTGTAAGTCCACAATCTGCCCTAAATTACTATCAGGATACAGAACAGATCCTGATCCAGGACTCGTCCATAACAACTTCAGTGTCCTCAGCCAGTAACTTATGGGGTAAAGACAGACACCACTTCTGATGGGAATAAATGCTACTTGCACCATCACGGTAGTTTTTATCTTGCTGATCCAACAGGTCCCTTGTTCTCCACAAATACAGAGTTTTGTTTCAACTGGGTGCCCAGGTTCGAACCCAGCCTGTGGCTCCTTTCCCGCATGTCATTCCTTACTCTTTCTCCCCGTGATTTCCAGCTCTATCCACTGTCCTGTCTCTCCATTTAAGGCACATAAAGCCCAAAAATAAATCTTTAAAAAAAGGTACCCCATATTCAGGGGATAAAGTCCTCAACACAGCAGTCACTGGTACCAGTCCCAGCCACAACCCTTTGCTGCATGTCATGCCACACTCTCTTCTCCCCACATTTCTTGTCTCTCCTCAGCTGTCCTGTCAAATAAAGTCAGGACATCCAACATCCACCTCTGGGACCATAATCCACTAATCACAGATATTCAAACTGTGGCTCACATTCTGGACAAACTGTGCTTAGTGTGAAGCTCATGAAGATCAACAGAAGTTTAAATGATCACAAAAAAACCCACCAACAGAACAGAAACCACTTGAAATATACTTTTACTTGATCGAGATAATACATTCTGATCTGTGCTGATACCTTAAGGATGGGATCAGTTCGTTCTTCATGTTCACAGTTCATTCATTTGTTTGCTCACTTTTGAATCCTAAACTCTCCAACATGATGACCTCTGATCAGCAGGTTCTGTCTTTGAAGTAAGCTGCTGCTCTCATTACTGGATGTGATGTTGTCAAAGACTCACAAACACACTGACATGGTTTATCATGTTTACTTCAATCACTGAATTCTTTGACAGGTGACTGTTGTACAGGTGAACAATGGGCTGCCACCTCCACCATTATATACTGATGACACTACAAAGTGCTGGACCACGTCATGAGTCTTAAAACAAAGAAAATAAACTTCAGTTTTCAGATCTCACCTTCCATCAGCAGGAAGTCCATCTTTAAAGTTGATATATAAATCTTTAGACCGGTCACTCTTCATAGACACACAGCTGGGTCCAGGAGAGTCTGGTCTCTGTTCCTGCATCCTGATACAAACAAACAACATTATTAGTTACTGTGAGCAGCAGATGAGACAGTGATGATGATGATGATGATGATGATGATGAAGGTGGAGTGATGTGAGTGCTGAGCTGTGACATGGAGAAGAGTCATGGACAGTTAGAGATCCTCATCTCAGAGCTTCATGTTCCTCACACAGAGAGGTTTTAGAGGGAGGGACTCCCTCCTCTGTGTCCTCACACTGATTCATAGGGTGAGCGCCCCCTGCTGGGAGAGCTGCACTCTGAGAAGAACGATCATTAAAGAGTTATTACATCTTCATATGAAACTTTCCAGAATCATCTTAAACTCGACGTATTTGGACCTTGACTGGGACAAAAAATAAACAGTCCTGTATTTGGACTGGGCCCTCCAATCTGTCCTGTGATCCATGAACACACCATCCTTTCAGCCCCCTGATATAAGCACACTGCAGTATCCCCCAAAAACCACCCTGAAGCTGAACAGTTAGCACCATGGACAAGAGTAGCAATTTTCAGATACAATTTAATCAGTAGAGTCTGTTTACCTCATATTGCCTATCTGTCTGCCTGTGTGTCTGTCTGTCTGTCTGTCTGTCTGCCTGTGTGTGTGTGTGTGTGTGTGTGTCTGTCTGTCTGTGTGTCTGTCTGTCTGCCTGCCTGTCTGCCTGCATGTCTGCCTGCCTGTCTGTCTGTCTGTGTGTTGGTCTGTGTGTCTGCATGTCTGCCTGCCTGCCTGTCTGATCTGTGTATGTCTGTCTGTCTGTCTGTCTGTCTGTCTGTCTGTCTGTCTGCCTGTGTGTGTGTGTGTGTGTGTGTGTCTGTCTGTCTGTGTGTCTGTCTGTCTGCCTGCCTGTCTGCCTGCATGTCTGCCTGCCTGTCTGTCTGTCTGTGTGTTGGTCTGTGTGTCTGCATGTCTGCCTGCCTGCCTGTCTGATCTGTGTATGTCTGTCTGTCTGTCTGTCTGTCTGTCTGTCTGTCTGTCTGTCTGTCTGTCTGTGTCTGTCTGTGTGTCTGTCTGTCTGTCTGTCTGTCTGTCTGTGTGTGTCTGTGTGTGTGTGTGTGTGTGTGTGTGTGTGTGTGTGTGTGTGTGTGTGTGTGTGTGTGTGCGTGTGCGTGTGCGTGTGCGTGTGCGTGTGCGTGTGCGTCTGTCTGTGTGTCTGTCTGTCTGTCTGTCTGCCTGTCTCACCCTCTCTACTGTTTTTTTTATCTGTAAGGATCTGAATGCTCTGACATTTCTCCTTTCCTCCTGCTGTAATGGCGTGCAGAGTGAGTGAGAGGTGGAGCAAGCCCGAGAGGGTCGTACCACTCCCTCCTCCCCTTCCTCTGTCAGTGTAGAAGTGGTTTCCAGAGAAAGCACATCTGGAGTCTAACCCCATGACTGCATCAGCACACATACATACACTCACACGTATAGATCTGTACACTCGTAGTTGTTGAAACGGCTCAGAGACACAGATCGTGCAGAGACCGAGCTTAACTCAGTCCCGCCTGTGTAGACAATAGACCACGCCAGAAGGCGTCTCTTTAAGGTGTCTGCTATCTTACAGGCCGTAACCACATGTGGTTACACCGCCATCTTGCCCTCTCTCTCTCTTTCTCTCATCCCCACACACACATGCACTCAGGGGTGCCGCCAGGAATTTCAGGCCCCATGAAAAGATATCACATTGGGCCCCTACCACGGCCCAAACTTACCCAGAAAATTTCTATAACCGCACCTCCATCACACAAATGACCCATAAAAACTTTGAACAACTATGCTTTGTTTTACACCCTGAAAAAGGAAGATAAAAAATCACTGTAATATTTCCTCATAGTTTAAAAATGATTTAAACTTTGTATCATTTGCACCTCTCAGACAGTTGAAGCATTTCCAGCAGCATTATTTAACTTGCTATAGGCTAGTTAATGTTTATTGTCTAAAATGATCTTATTGGTTAGCTTATTGAATTAAAAATTCTACTGGCATTAATGATAAACTGTAAACATACAATAAATCAGAATTAGATTCTACCACACTTGTCAGCATCACTTTAAAATGAGGCTGAAATAGTTCTCAGTTCTGACTTTAATTCTTCTTACACTGCATTACCATTTGTCTCACCTGATGTTCAAAATACTGTAGTGGACTCAGTTTTGATGCTAGTGTGACAACATTGATATCATTGAGTTGACAGTTGTTGATATCAAACATGTTACTGTAGCTTGCTGGGAAAGACGCTAAATATCGCTCCATAGTGGACTCTTTTTTTACCGCGATGTAATATTTTTACAAAATAGGGTCATATGAAATCGTTTCTATGAAGGGGATTCATATGATGAATTTATGCATAAAACACAAACATGATCCAAACGATATTCTTGGCTGAATTCCTCATCTGGTTTAATCTGCAGCCTGCCACATCTCTCACTCTTGACTCGACTGACCGCCGACAGTTCAATTCAATTGAGAGGTGCGGGGGCGGACTAAACCATTGTGCGCATTCAGAAGGGGGGGGGGGAGGGGCCTTTGAGACAGAGTCCACACTTTTTCCAGAAAGTAATTCTGAATGTTTGTTTATTTATTCAGACAATTTTAGTTATCTTGTTATGGTTATAACTAAGAGAAAAAAGCTAAATAAGAAATACATTTTTATTTCAGGCCCATGAAGGGCCCCCTCCCCACTCGGGCCCTGGATAGTCAGTCCCACTTTTCCCCCCACTACGACGCCCCTGCATGCACTCACAACCACACACACAACCTACACAGAGGTGTAAAGAGTACTAATATATTCTACTCAAGTAAAAGTACTGTTACTTTGATAAAATGTTACTTAAGTACAAGTACTGTAAAATCCAGTGTATAAGACACACTTTTAATTCCTATTTTTTCGTCTTAAAAGTTGGCTGCGTCTTATACACCAGTGCGACCAATATATAGTATATAGTATAGTATAAAATACTGAAACACGGGCTGTCATTACAGCGGGTGCAGCAGCCACTATCACTGCGACCTGACGTGATTAAAAACCCATCCCCATTCATTGTGTATTGAATGCTGGTTGCACGCTGTGCTGGGAAAGACGGCGACACAGACCAGTCTGGCTGCCATCTTTTTCCACATATTTTCTCCCTCACGAGGTCATAATCATGCATTTACAGAAAACAGTGGTATATTGTTCCGTAAATAAACTTTGTGGAGTTCTCTTTTGATTGAAAGATTCCTATATTAAAGTTATTATATTAAATGATATTATGATATTAAACTCCCGAAAGTGAAAACAGACGGAACTAAAAGAGCGACATAGCTGCACAGAAAATGCACGTTGTAGACATCGCCGAACACAATATAAATCGAAACGCAGGAAGACAGTTTAAACTTTTTTTTTCTCTATAGAGACCTTCAAAACAGAGTCTCTTATATACCGGTGCGACTTATATTCCGGATTTTACGGTAAAAGTACCAGTTTAAAAATGTACTCTGGTGTTACACCCATTGTAGACAGTCATGACTCATTTTCAGAGGATATACTTGATTTCTATTACATTTAAGTGTGAAAAATCACCTTTAAACTATTTAAGAAAATACACTAAAAGGATCTTTGTCTCAATCATAAACAGTGTAAAGAGTATTTTAGTGTTTTTAGTTTTATTATTCTGAGACTGGTTAGTCTCAAAGACAGCCTCGAAGGCTGACATGCAAGGCTGACTGCAACTAAACCTGAGATGAAAGATAATCCATTAAATGTTTTAGCCTTTATGAGCTTAAATATTAGATGTTTTAGTCACTGTTTGTTTAACTATTAGCAGGCTACTGAAGCTTCTAACTGAATCTGTTTGGTTTTAAGTATTTATTTTCACACATCTCAGATGTGTTAACTAGCAGCAGCTTATAACACCCAACTTCCTCATATGTCTGCTTCAAAATGAAAGCACATCACAGAAATGGCAATTAGGGATTTTATTGTGAAAAACTTTCCGGACCTTAATGTGTTTACCACCCGGAGCTTTCGCGGAGCTGCGATTGTAGTCACGAACGCTGCAGTGGGAAAAAGCATCCTCAGCCACTTCTTTGTCCAAGAGTAAGAACCAATGAGACATCAGTTTATAAACACCTTCAGCAGGTAGACCCACAGTAGTGGAGGTGCTTATCCGTGATGCACTAGCTGAAGAAAAGGGTCTCTGTCTCTCGTCGCTCAGGTGCGATGAGGGAAAATCATTCATAGCTATTTTTTTTACTCAGTAACGGATGTAATTTAAAATGTAGCTAATTGCAATACTTAACAGAAAACCTACTTAAGTAAAAGTACAGATTTTAAGAACGACTTAAAAAGTAGTAAAGTACAGAAAAAAACTACTCAATTACAGTAACGCGAGTAAATGTAATTCGTTACTTTACACCTCTGAACCTACATAACTACACTCTCCCACCTCATTCACAAGTTTTGCTTCTTTCATGATTGGTGTGTTTGACACATGAAGAATAAAAGCTGACAGTGTGACTCATGTTTCAGCTCCTCTCGTGTCAGAGCTGCAGCTTCAACATTACACTGTTTGATTTACACTGAACTCACTCAGAGACCCTCAGTCCTGTCTGAAGAGGACAGACTCCTCTTCCTCACTCTGCTGTCTAACTGTCCTGTTAGCATGGTTAGCATAGCCTGCGTGCTAAACTGACTGTGAGTCATCGTGATTCCTGCTCTTCTACTGTAATAAGAGCAACTAATGAACCTGGTGGCTAGCTGTTAGCTTACAGTTCTTTTGACACTTAAATTAAACAGAGAGTCTGAACAACAGTGAAAAGAGTCTCTTACCTTCAACCTTATAATATTTTACAGGACTCTGCCTTCAACACAGATAACAGATCTGCGTCACAACTGGAGAAAGTGAAAGTAAAAAGTCCAGGAAACAGGAAATAGCACAGGGTGTTTATCACCATAGCA